AAAGCCGACACCCTTTTTTCTGACTGAAATCCTTCACAACCAACCTTGCCTTGTATTTTAGTTTTGAGCCACTCATCAGATTTCAATTTATAAACCCATTTGTTTGAGTGCCCTTTTCCCCTTTGGTAATTTCACCAAATCATAGGTGTGATTCTCATACAAGGATTTTAATTCCTCTTGCATTGCTTTCAACTACTCATCTTTCTTGTCATGTGACATAACCTCTTGATAAGTCTCTGGCTCTTCCCCATCTGTCAACATCACATACTTATGTGGAGGATACCTAGTGGAAAGTCTTCTCTCTCTATTTGATCTTCTAGGCTGAACTTGTGGTGAAGGAACTGGAGGTATCAGTTCATTCTGTACTTCCTTTGTATTTTCATTTACAGGAGTTTCATCACTAACTGTATCATCCTATTCATTTGGTACAGCTTTCCCGTGATCACCATCAACTGTAGGTGGGAAAACCGGATCCAAGTTAATTGGAACATCAACAGAGAATTTTGGCTTCTCAATTTTCTCTATATCTTCAATTGTTTGATCCTCAAGAAATACATCTCTACTTCTGATCACTTTCTTGTCCACTGGACCTCATAACCTGTACCCAAACTCTTCGTGCCCATAGCCTAAAAAGATGCATTGTTTAGCCTTGTCATCAAGCTTGGATCTTTCATCTCTAGGAATATGAACAAATGCCCTACAGCCAAACACTTTCAAATGACTGTATGATATGGCTTTCCCTGTCCAAACTCTTTCAGGAGTATCTCCATTCAAAAGGACTGAAGGATAAATGTTGATGAGGTCAACTACAGTTCTCATAACCTCACCCCAAAAGGATTTAGGTAACTTAGCATGAGAGAGCATGCATCTGATTCTGTCAGTAGTTGTTCTGTTTATTCTCTCTTCTACTCCATTGTGTTGAGGAGTCTTGAGAACACTTTTCCAAAGCCTGATACTATAGATCCTACAATATTCTTCAAAATGACTCCTATATTCACCACCATTATCAGCTCGGATGCACTTCAACTTATTCCCTATTTCTCTCTCAACCTTGGCATGAAAATACTTGAAAACATCCAACACCTAATCCTTAGATTTCAAGGCAATGTCCACACTTTTCTGGAGTAGTCATCAATAAATGTCACAAAATATAATGCTCCACCAAGAGATCTATCTTTCGTGTAACAAACATCAGTGTGAACTAAATCTAAAACATGAGGCTTTCTAGATGGAGCAAATTTATGAAATGCAACTCTACTCTGTTTGCTAGCTAAGCAATGTACACATGTTTCAAGAGGCATACCTTTCACATCAAGAAGAATATTTTCTCTGAAAAGTATTTGAAGCCCTTTTTCACTTAAATGTTCAAGCCTCCGGTGCCAAAACTCAATGGATGAATCATGAACTGCATTCACCTCTTCTTTGCTCAACCTTGTTTGCATCACATAAAGGGTATTGTGCTTCTTTCCCTTTGCCACAATGAGTGAACCCCGATTGAGCTTCAATTTTCCATCACTGAAGGTGTTTGCATAACCTTCATCATCTAACCTGCCAGTGGAAATCAGATTTAGGCGGATATCAAGAACATGTCTAACATTCTTCAAAATTAATTTGCAACCAGTATTGCTATCTAAACAAATGTCTCCCATGCCAACAATCTTGGATGCACCAACATTCCCCATACGAACATGTCCAAAATCACCTGTAATGTGAGTTGTGAAAAATTCACCATTGGGGGTAACATGAAAAGAAGCACCCGAATCTATGACCCAATCACTGTCTGGGCATGCAAAGTTGACATAATTATCATCACAAACAATAATGACATCACCCTTGGCTGCAACAGCTGTAGTATCTTTTTCTTCTTTCTTGCCTTCACCTTTCCCTTTGATTTGTTCTCTTTTCCAGACTCTGCATTCATTTTTGTAATGTCCCAGTTTATTACAGTAATGACAAATGATATTTTTCTTGAACCTGGACCTTCCTCTGGATTTATCATTTTTGTTACGGGGACCTCTGCTCTTACTTCTTCCCTGCCTTTCTTTCTTTTCTATCACAAGTGCTTGAGATTCTAAGTCCCTTGTTCTTTCCTCCTGAACTCTTCATTCAACAAAGCATATTTGACTGTGTCAATGGTTACTATACCATTAAGGGTTGAATTACTAACTGAAACCACCAAGGTTTCCCAACTGTCAGGCAAGGAACTAAGTAACAACAAGGCTTGCACTTCATCATCCAGATTCAATTTCATAGTAGTCAATTGATTTATCAAAGCTTGAAAATCACTCAAATGTTCAGACATATTAGTCCCATCTTTATATCTCAAGTGTTCTAGTTTTCTAATCAAGGCAGCCTTGTTTAAACCCGTTTTCCTTTCATAGACTCTAATTTTTTCCATAAAACATCAACCCTAGTTTCTTGTGCAACATGGTGAAAAATACTGTGGTCGATCCATTGTCAGATTTGGCCTATAGTTTTCCTATGCATGATTCCTCATTCATCACCTCTTTGGGTTTCCAAATGGCATAATTCGATGAAATCAATTTTATCATAACACCTAAGGATTCCTCCATTTGTATCAACACAAACAATTAATTTCAGCCAGCCTGGCTCTGATACCACTGTTGGGGAAGTTACACTATAATAGCAGAAATAAGTGTAAAACCAATCCCAGGACAACAAGAACTTTTCCCCTAAGTTTGTGTGTGAAAATGGGTATGCCAACAACAATGATAACAAGTAAACAATTCAGCCAAGTAACAGAAAAACAAATAACAATCACCACACAATAGCACACCATAATTTTTACGTGGAAAACCCCAAAATTGGGGAAAAACCACGGAACCTATGGTCCGTAAAAGTCTTCAACTAATTCAGAAATTAATGGGTACAATAGTCTTCTCTATTTGCAACTAGAAACTTACAAACATCAGGGAAATAACCCTTGGCTCACAAGAACAGCATTAACATCACCAAATGCAAGGTGGATATAACACAAACAGAGGTTTAGATCTCACCAAGTTGTTGTAAATCTGAATTAAGAAGTAGAGAAAGGAAGAATCACCAAATCTGAACTAGAGTGAGATTCTTAACTCCAGCACTTGATTTCATCAAGAACGGGCTTGAAGCACCTCCGAGCTTTGCCTTGAATGGAGCAGGAAAATCAACTCTCTTCTTTTCTTCTTCACAAACTCAAAAAACCCAAAAAACCTCGGTTCTGTGTTTTCTTTTCTCTCTTGTTTTTCTCAGTTCGGGTGGTTACGAAACATGATGCCCAAAAACAGAAAGGTGAGAGCCTTTGGCTTCCACTATACGACTCCTTTTGGGAGCAAATAAAGGTGGGATGGGCCCCTCATATGGGCTGGACCCACACCCAACAAATGTTAAATATCTTTCATTCCTAATCATAGGGCATCAGCCCTTCACCCCCATAAAGGCCCCTTGAGGCAAGCCCAAGCATGTCCATGTGGTAGGGGAGAGGGTTAGGGGGCAGCACCCCTGACCTAAATTTTTGTCCTGTAATATAGAAAGGAATTGATTTTGTAGTTTTAGTCAAAATCCATTCTATTTTAAGATTAGGGATCAAATATTAGTTGTATTGTTGTTCTTTAGTGGAAATTTTGCTATTTGTGATCCTATCTGCAAGAACTAAGGCTTCAAGTATTTGAAAGGTCTTTGTTTTTGTTTACTTTAAAAGTTGATAGACCATCACAGAGCTGGTAAACCATTACAAGGTATAAAAAAATATAAGAATCTTAAAAAAAAAACATATTTAAAAAGAATGCACTTCTAGGTTGAAGTGCACCAATCATGCACCTTGGTAACTGGATTCAGGCAAGGCATATGCCCTTAAAATACGCTTCATCTGTGCACCTAGGCAGACCTTCTAAAACATTAGATCCAGCTTCTTTAATAAAGCTAGAGAGCTAAAGGTAGTGCTGTAAATGGATCAGATTCTGATTGGATCCACCTACATATGCACCTGACCCAATTATATAACCGTAGTATCCAAATCCAACCCAAAATCTGATATATGGGACTTCATCGAACTCAGATTTAATCTACATCTGACTTATTGTGTTTAAAATAACCAAAAAAGTTCAAAAAGTCTTAAAAACTACTTGTTTTTAACTTACACATGTATACAGCATGTACATAAATATAAAATATTAAACTTATCAGTTATAAACTCTATATAATTATATATAATATCTACATATAGACATAATTATACTACATATATAAACTAATATTTTTTATTGGACTTGAAATTTAATTGGATCTGATGGGGTTAAATCTGCATCCAATCCAATTATTAACCGGATGCAACTTCTAACATCCAAGTCCAGAATAATTGGTCGGATTCGGAGTCTAATCAGGTATCAGACTTTCGGATTCCATTGATAGCCATATAAACAGGTCCTAATCTATGTGCTTTCTTGTTCACTGTCAAACATGACAATCTTGGACTCAGAGGAGTTAATTAACTTGTTCAGGATGACTTAATATTTCCAGGAATGTCTATTACTGCAGACTGCAAATAGAAAATAAGGCAATAAAGAGAAACAACTGCAAAGACTTCAGTGCAACCACAATTATCAGAAACAAGGAAAAGTAAGGATGTAGAAAGTTGCCTAAATTACATCCTATTCCGATTAGAACCATGTTAGGAGAGTTTCTTAAAAGTTCAACTTGTGCACAAGCAAGCTTGGTTAACTAAATCAAGCTTTAAACCACACCAGTCGCTATTTAAAAATAAACAATACTTGAATAAAAAATTTAACAAAAACAATGCAGTAGTAAGTACAAGAGTAGAAAACTATGATACCCGGATAACTGTACAAAGGTGCCATATTGTGTTAGATACTTATATTTTTAGTGTGCACTCTGTATCCAACACTTGTCCAGCTGTGTCCTTGTTGTATCTGGGTAACATAGGAAGAAATGTTGCAGAACTAGAACTAGAACTAGATAACAGACTGTAAACCAAAAAATCATACCTTGCACTTGGTGTTCCCACATTTTGACCATTCCAGGCAGCTGAAACTGTTGAATGGCGATCTTCATCTTCTGAGGCACGAGAAACAGAGATTGCTGTGTAAGAAGCAGGTTCTGGAGTAGAGTTACTTTGAGAAGAACCATTATGTTGTGTTGAATCATGCTCAACCCCCTGACTGTTGCGATGGCGATAACGCCAATAAAGAAGAGGAAGAGTTGCAACACATCCAGATGCATAACCTACAACCCATGCAAACAAAGGGGCTTGGGGGTTTTCGTGTCTTGACAAAGACAAAACAACAATAGACGCAATAATCTGGCTCACGGTTACAACTAGCTCAATCGAAATCCACAATCCAGAATTCAAGGGGCTCCTACGGCGACGGCCATATCCATCACCTCTCCTAATGAATGAGGCATTCCTGGTGTTTGATCCATTTGTGGAAGATGAGGTAGATTGAGAAGTGGGTGCTTGAGTGCTACTTGAAGGTCTGTCATCATGCTGAGGCAGGTCCATACCAGGAGAAGGATCACCATGAGATGAGCCTGATGAGGAAGCATCATCACCTCTCACAATGTCAATAACATGCTCACGGTCATTATGGTTATCAGGGTGTTCCATTAGCAAAGGATATCTGTCAGTTTGGCCTTCACGATTTGGTTCCAGCGAGGGAACGGCCATCTAAATACACTGACAAAATTTCACAAAAAGAAAGCATAGAACAACCAGTTATAAGACTGCTGTATTTTTTAAGCCTCTGAATTGCTTTTCTGAAAAAGCTCCTGTTATATGCTAACCAGATAAACCAGCAACCCCTGGACCCCAATATCTGGAGTATTTAATAACTCTTGTTCTGTTTAAGAAACAAAATACCATAGCATTAGCATCATATGATTCCAAACCATGATTTCTTTTTCTTTTTCTTTTTCAAGAAAAAACAATCTAATAAGAAATAGCAGGATTGATTGAACTTGAGCAGAGAATGTAAAGATACAAACAACACAATCTAGCTCTTAGAGAAAACTAGAAAAAATGTTATACTACCACATATTCTATTTGCTAACCGGGGACTTTAGATCCACTTGGAATGGAATAATTCCATTCTGATCGTTCACTACACATGAGGGCATAAGTTTATATCTAAAATGGATAGTTGTACTTGTTTTCATGCACGTTAATAAAATTCTAAATACAATAATTTCAGGATTTTAAGAAGCACCAAATCATATTCTAACGGTAACAGCTAGTTCGTTCGTGGGTTTACAACAGCCAATTGTAACCTCAAGCATGAGGATGAGGCACCCATATTTTACCATTCTCTTGTAAAAGCTAAGAGTTTGATTTTGAGAATTGAGAGTCAAAGAGGCCTCCCTTGCCTCTTGGGCAAGTGAATACCCAAATCTTGTTGTCTCTCCAATCTCCATGTAATCAATCTCTTTATCCATAAAACTCCATCTAATTTCCTTCTTCTTTATTTCTTTTTGGGGTTTTTCCCATTTTCTTCCTTGTTTAATGAGCTATGTCAGGTGATGAGTTTGTGTTTGTGGGTTCAAATACAATGAAAAGTTATAAAAGAAATCATTTCACTCCACATGACTTCCAAATATCCCATGAATAAATATGCCTACCTGATTGCGCTTCAAAATAAATAACTACTCCAACACTAAAAACATTAGCAGAGCCACTTAATCCACAGAAAAGATATCACTACTTAAAACACGAACAAAACGATCCAGGTCATACATGACCACTGGATTTGTTCAACAGTGGCATTAGATGATAGATCCCCAGGATGGCACCAAATTCAGAACTCCACTGGTTTTATTCCAAAACTTAGCACGACACTGAAATTCGACAAAGAGGGCAACGGAAGATTGATCCACGGCATCTAAATTTCAAACAAATACCAGCCCTCAAACATGAATAAGAACATTTAACAAGGACCGATCTCCAAGCATGAAATAGCCCACCAACCAAATGAGTATCGGAAAACCCAGGCCTATTTCGACCTTGTAAACAAACCCAGAATCCATTTTCAGCTCTTTAGTCCACGCAACGGATCATACCAAAACCCTAAACTCCCAAAACCTTTACTGTCCTTAAAGAAGTCGAAGACTTAACCGATCGAGCACTGACACAAACCAATCGATTCAATCGCCACGTTCAAATTCTCATGTAAATTCAACCCAGATTATACAACGTAAACACCAAACCGGGACCGATTAAACAGAAAAAACAAACAAAAGCCCTAAAGGAAAGAGGATATGATGATTCTGTTGGCTCCAGAAAAAAAAAAAAAAAAGATAAATAAACACAATTTAAAATAAATAAAACGTACCAAATTTCACAAACTTCCAGTTGCCATTAAAGAACAGTTGACACAAGAACGAAAGAGAGCTCGTAAGTCCCACTCTATCATTTACCCATGCTTTCCTTTCTTGAGAAATTGCGCCAGCTTTCGACCTCCATTGCTTGGCTGAGTCGTCATAGAATATAAGTAAGACAGAGAGAGAGAGATAAGACGATATTTTTTCTAATTTACTTTTTTTATTTATTCAAGAGAAGCAATGTAGTACTATTTACTACTACAGTTTATTGTCTTTCCTTCTTGTGCACGCAATTCTCGACCGCTCGATCGGACAAAATGACGACCTATCTGTCAAATATCTTTAAACTGATGCCTGATCAAGTGTTGTGAAAGCGCTTTCCGTACTTTAATCAGGGTATTAAATTATAAATTGAGTACAGTAACATTAAATTTCAACTTATTTATTTATTAGTTGTATGTTTACTTTTTAGAGGTGAGACCGTGAGAGTGATGAGAGCATGAGTGTAGCCAGAAAAGGTTGGGTTCTGTGTAGGAAGGGCGGAGGTAGGGCTACTCGGTCTCGGTGTACACCAAAGACAAATTCTAATCTCCCCCCACAGAATGCGCCCCAAAATCGACTCACATGCACATCTCAGCGTGCATTGAGAACACTCTCGCGTTTGTCATTAGGAGATGTTCTCAATTCACGGTTGGGATGTGCTGTGAGACGGTATTGGGGTGCAATCTGTGGGTTCAGATTTGAACTCACCAAAGACCAAATTCCATTTTAGTACTTTCAGTTCCAGTTATGTCTGAGACGTTGAGGTTGGCGCGCTACAAAGTGCGTGCAAACCGATCGGATCCAAATCTAAATTTGATTCCTTTTCGTCGATATTCAAATTTGAACCGGATCTCCTCTTTCAGATTTGAACCGGATAGAGTCATGAATACAATTATCAAATTTAGCTAAAAATGAATAATGATCACAAATATTATATTTAACTAATAACAACTAAGAAAAATAACTTAGTATTGTATGTCATAATTAAAATGACTTTAAATTTTTTGTCAATGCAAATTTGTTCAAATAGAAAGATGCACTTATATAGTTGTGTTTTGTTTTTTGATAATTTATGAAGTTGTGTGCATTAACATGATACGGCATTATATCGGTGTATATCGTAATGTATCGGTGGATATGACCCGATACTTACCAATACAAAGGCATATCAGACCCTAATTTGACGATATATTCAAATCTTGATTTAAATTTAATTTTCTCCAAAATTTTAATAAGAGTTGAAAATTATAAAATTAATTTATTTTATTTATATTAAATTATTTAAATATTTTATTTTACATATAAATTATTAAATGAAAACATATTTATTATTTGAAAATATAGAGTTGTTATTTACATAAAAATACTAAATAAATAAAATTTTCCAAAAAAATAATAAAAATTGTAAGTTATAATTATAAAAACTGAACTAAATAATTTAAGAGTTAAGTTTCCCTAAAATTGTAATAAAAATTGAAAATTATAGAAATAATTTATCCTATCTACCTTAAATGATTTATATGTTTTATTTTAAAATCATATGTTAAAAATAAAAAAATATATATTTATTATTCAAAAAACGGAGATTGTATATATATAAATACTAAATAAAAAATTTTTCCAAAAGTTACTAAAAATTAAAAGTTATAATTATAAAAAACTGAAGTATAGTGATAATTATTGTATGATATGTACATCTTTTGGAGTCCTGGAATTGTTGATCGTAATGTTTCTCTTCATATAACATATTAAATTGTGCATTTTTTTCATGTATTTTATACCTCATTCATAGTTATTTCAGCTTTAAATTTAGTGGTATTAACATAATTATGTGATTTGTATGCATTTTCTACTGTATCCAAGAATTTTTCAATTCTTTCGTCCATATCCATGCGATTCTAAAATGTATCTTTGTCCAAACTGTTTATGCGATACTTGATATTGATACTTTAATCATTTGCTGATTGCGAAAATAAATCTCAACGGTGAATGAAATGAGCCTATTTTACGTTGTTTAATTTTGAGTTAGAAGTTTGATTACTATTTTGAATGCAATTCAAAATAAGTTTCAAAATTTCGATAGACTTATATGAGTGTACCATATATTATCATGGGTGTGATTGATGGACGGCCATGATACCTTGGTTTGGACGGCCACCCCTCATGGAGAGTTTACAACTTACTCATGCTTAAAAAAATTACTAGAAGCTGAAAGTTCGGGAACCTCTAATATGGGTGTGATTGATGGAGACTGTACTGTACTGGAAACATTGATGGAAACATACTCTTATTACTCCTCGTGTGAAGCTTTTTGTTTGGAGGGCTATATAAATGACACATTACCCACCAAGGTCAGCTTAGCTAAGCATCGGGTTCTAAATGAGATGGAGTGTCCTCTTTGTGGTGAACATGAGGAGAGCTTGGAATATGTACTTTTCTATTGTCCTGTTGTTACGCCAATCTGGTTTGGTTCCACTCTATGGTTGGGTATGGACTATGATTTAAGTAAAAGTGTAGCGTAGAGGCTAACTGATTGGTGCAAAATGGACCAAACCCAACAAGAAAGACATGTCCTCTTGAGGGTTGTTGTATTGATGTGGTTCATTTGGTGGCATCGGGACAAGAAGGTATCTGAACATCAACCGTTCAGAGCGCAAGCCCATATCAACTTTATTTTTCAGTCAAGCCGAAAATCATCTCCTCCACTTGTTGAACGGTAGCTGCCTGAAAATGTAGATGGAGCAGCTACTGGTGTTGGTATTGTGCTCCGTGACCATAATGGTTCTCACTTGTTTTCCCGAGCAATTCCCCTGTCTCCATGCACATCACTTGAAGCGGAAGCTCAGGCTTTCCTCTATGGATTGGAGTTTGCAATGGAATTAAATCTTCACCAAGTGGTTTTAGAAGGTGATGCTTCCGTTATAGTTTAGCTTCTATTGGTGGTCACAGTACAACCATAGTGGCAAATCAGCTCTATAATTGCTAACTGCAGAAACTATCATTCATGCCTTCCTTCTATCTCAGTATCTTTAGTTAGGAGGACTGATAACAAAGTGGCTCATTGCTTAGCGCGTTGAGCATTATCTTGTAATAGACCATGTACTTGGTCTCTTTGTCCTTATGTGGTCCCCTTTTGTATCCTCTAATATTTCTGATTCGAGATAATTGAATTGATGCAATGGCACTTAAAAAAAAATATTATCATGGGTTGATCAAAACATCTTTTTTAAGGCTTATTCTAGATGCTTAGGTTTTTAAACATTAATTACCCTTAACACCAACCCTAGGGATGTTAATGGATTGATTCTATCCGATTGATTGAATTTAACCGAGTTGATTATGTCTAGTTCCATAAGTTTGTCTTCATTAATAATTGGGTCGGTTCCAATTCTTGCATGTCTCAAACCGATTCAGACCGAAACCATATAATATTGGTTAAAATGTTTAATTTATTAACGTATAAATAATTTAACATTTACTATCATTTTTATTGAGATTGTATTAACAAAATTTAAATTTTAAGTTATTATTTAAATAAATAAATATAGTTTTCAATATAAACAACCAAGTCTATCCTCGATTATTAATTGGGACGATTATGGGTTTGTGATTTTGTCCCTATTAATTATCAAATTGTGATTGGGGCCACCTTGTCCCAACCTAGACCCAATCTATTGACAGCCCTAAGTAATTCCCGATGAAATTTTCAAAGTAAAATAATTAAAAAAAAATAGTATTCTGTAGTATTGAAATACCCGAGATGCATGTTAGAATACATAAGGTGTATTGATACTTTGAACCTTAGTTGAAAAACAAATTTAATTTCATTTACAATATAAAAATGCATTATTACCAAACACCTACAAAAAGTCAAAAACCAAACCAAAGTGCAAATTCCTACTAAATATATAAGCTAAGCTTTAGAACACCTTTACTAATAAAATGTATATTAATTTTTTCCAAGTATAAACATAATTGTTTAAATATTATCATACTGAATTGGGATAGACCCATATTTGATCCAAGATCAAATCCAAAATACTTCAATTAGATTGAATTTGAAATTCAAATTTGGACCAATGGAGACGGTTTGCAACCCTTACTAAATCATTCAAATCGATCATATAAAGTTTAGAAGACTATCATCGAAAGAAAACAAAAGCATGAAAAATGTAGTGTCGCTTTCATCCCTCCGAAATGGGCCCTTGGAATATAGTTGGCTAGTCAATACCATTTTGTTTTTGTGTTTTTTGTTTGTTTGTTTGTTTGTTTTTGGCTCCAATGGGTTATATAATGGCGATAATCCATCCCCCAAACTAGGTATAGGCGGGATTTAATCCCAAGTCTCTGTTACAACCAGCAAGAGACCTTATCAATCAGTTGGCACCTTATGTCAATACCATTTTGTTGAACAATGTAGGCTTGAAAAGGTAGATGAGAATTGGGTCTAATTGAGAAATGCCCAGCCTGAGGAACCTACAAAAGGAATTGGTCGAGTTGCCAAACTCCCTATTACTATAATTGCATATCCAGCTTTCTTAATAAAACTTGCTTATTATTTGCATATGAATGTAAAAATACTTAGAGATGTTGATTTTCAATATAGTATACATAGAATATTAACCTCTTATATAATTCTAATAATGTTTTATTGAATTGAATTCCGTTGTATGAAAAATCAACTAGAGTCATCACCATCACCATCATTATCATTCTCATAAATAGCTTTGTCAAAACTATTATCTATATGAAATCGGCTACATGAATCTGCAATTCTATTTCATTCAATTTCACATGATATAATCAATACATAATAACTTACATTAGAGTGGAAGAAATACCTAATATCAAACCCCATATAAAATCAGCATAGATGGGATAAGGCATAGCCGACCCCCTATATATAATTGGAACAAAGACTTGGATGATGTAATGATGATAGGTGAGGTAATGCAATTAATAGTGTGTACTTTGTTTTTATTAGGATTTTCATTCTATGAATAATGGCTCTATTTCAATAAGCTTTGGCTTTTTGAGTTTTTTTGGCTATTATCCTGTG